ATCTACTCAGGTCCCTTCCGACCCTAGAAACTATGAAATAGTGGACTGTGCCTCAAAATCTGCCTAGTGGCGTATTACCTAGCTTCCAGCTTGCTCTCTAACAGCTACTGTAGATGATGCACAGAGGACTGAGTGCACCTTCACAGCCAGAGGTCTTCGTTCCTTTCTAGAGGAATTCAAATATTATAAAAGCCTTATGTCTGTCCATAACGCTTTATTCACACTCTGGTTGGTTGTCTGAAGCACCAGTCAGAGTGCTTCAAGAGCATTCCAGACAGGGAACATGGTGGCGGTGGGTGGAGTGGGCCCGGAGCCCAAGTGGTGGAAGCAGGGAGTGGCCCTGAGCCCCAGGCCCAATGCAGTGCAGGGGGAAGGGAGAAGTGGGCCTGGGCCTGAGCATGGGCATGGGCCTGGGCCTGACATGGTGGGTGGGGAGGGGAGGAGCGGGCTCAGGCCTGATATGGGATGGGAGGGGAGGAGCAGGACGGAACTCCAAGTCAAGGGGGGGGCAGACATGGGGCTGTGTCCCTGCCTGCCCCCCCTCCCCACATCATTCTTGATGAGCAATTTGCTATTGTCTTCATATAAACCATATTAGAAATCATAGTGATTCTTTGTCTTGAAAGGCATTCCTACCTCGTGTACTGTCATACAGAACTAGCAGTCATAGACAATAGCAAAGCAGTGTATTATATAAAATAACAGTCTTACCTACTCTTCCCACATTGTGGATAACTTGCAACATATTTTTCACAGTAACAGGACAGAAAAGACCATATTTCTAACAGATTAGCCAAGCAGGTTCTAAATAAGCACTTAACTTTGGAAAGAAATCAACTAGAATACATTATCTTTTGGAATGAAAGAAGTTTTCCTTGTCATCAGAGGGGAATAATATACACCCTGGGCAGTCTAAAGCATTCCTACATGATTCCTATGTTCCAACTTAAGATTTTGAGGTGCTGATTATTTCTCAGTTAAAGTCAGTTTGTCAGCAGCATCAGTTTTTATATTCAGTTTGACAGTAAATCAGTATGTATTTGTGAATCAGTTAAGAGATTCTTAAAAAGCCTCAGTAATATTTGTAAAATCAGTAAGAATTCCTCTTTACTACAAAATCTCAATGTTAATACATGAAACACCCTTTCAAACTAATAGGAGAAATTCTGTGTCATCTTTTAACAAAAATGTCTTGGTTGTTCTAATTTGCTTGTATTGTGATGTAATTTCTGAGCAAAAATCGATTGTACATGTTTTATTGAAGATGTTATGAAATATAGGGAACTAGAATCACTTAAGTGTTTGTACAAGTAAATACATGTGCCATTCTCTTTCTTATGTCTTTTGCTAGTTAGAAATAAATGACAAATTAACTAAAATGTTAATAGGTTGTATTTACAGCTGTAGTGACATTTATATCTTATTTTTCTAGATGATTGATTAAAGAGTACCAATTTAAATTCTTATCTTAAAAATAATCCAAACCTGTTTTGTTCAAATAACTATGACTCATAACATTTACTTTACTTATTAACAAATGGATTTTGAAGCTATTGATGTTTATCATTCATTACAGTAACTTGATAGAGCATTCCTTTAGTTTACTAATGTGTTATATTTCAAACTTCTTTGTTCATAGGTCATTTTTATAAGTTAGAAGGAGAAAAAGATGCCCTACTTTGTGGTAATGGCACAGATGCAGGGTAAGAAATACCATGAAAATTACGTACTATTGATTGTATAAACTAAATGTAGCATGTCTGACACAGCTAGCTAAAGAATGAATTGTACTGTCAACCAGTCCATAGTCTTTCCTCTTAAGTAGGCCTGTATAAAAACATGCTGAAATATTTTCTCCCTAAGACCTTTGTTATTCCCTTTTGCTGTGGTAGCTGGAGGCAGATCAAATATTTCTCAGATCTGAACTGTGATTGCCCATCATTTGGCCATATCTGATTTGGAGATTTGGCTGCCATTGAATCAAAGAGGCCCCATCCCCCACCCACTCTCCCAGCTCCCCCAGCCTCCATGAGTGCCCTCCAACCCCTGCCTACTGTCCCAGCCCCATCAATGGCTGCCCCTCCTGACCCCAGCGTCCCAGCTCCTTAAAAAAAAAAAAGCCTTGCACTCACCAGCTCCTGCCAGAAAGGGGGGCAATCCCCACTGCCCCCCACTGCCTCATGGTGCATGAGGAGGGCTCTGCCATGAGCTCCCAGAAGCCCTGACAGCTACAGCAGCAGCTGGTGAGCGTGG